TTTGTCTCCTGCTCGTATCGAGTCAATCCTCACGACAGTCAAGAGAGTAAGAGAAGGCCAGTCACTCACTGTCAAACCATTTCAAAGGCAGTTGGGTCTGATGGCAGCGGCGTCCAACGTGATACCTTTTGGCCTGCTGTACATGAGACCCTTGCAGTGGTGGCTCAGGACCAAGGGATTTTCCCCGAGGGGGAATCCGCTTTGCATGATCAAGGTCACGTGGCAATGCTTACGTGGCTTGGACATGTGGAAGAAACATTGGTTCCTGGTTCAAAGCCTGATGTTTCCTTGTTGTCATGTAATGCTAACGATGGATGCCTCCCTCATGGGCTGGGGGGCGGTCATCAGTGGCCACTCTGCCCAGGGTCTGTGGGAAGGCCATCATCTCACTTGGCACATCAACTGCCTGGAGATGCTGGCCGTGTTTCGAGCTCTGACACATTTCCTTCCAGACCTATGGGCACATCATGTGCTTGTCCGCACAGACAACACATCAGTGGTTTCCTGCATCAATCGGCAGGGGGGTCTGACTACCCCTTGTACAAGCTAGCGCGCCAGATCCTTCTGTGGGCTCAGGGGAAGCTCCTCTCACAAAGAGCAGTCTACATCCCCGGGTATCTCAATCAGGGGGCAGATATCCTGTCGAGACAGGGGCTGAGGACCGGGGGATGGAGACTCCACCCCGAGGTGGTGGAGCTCCTCTGGAGGGAATTTGGCCAGGCGGAAGTGGATCTATTTGCGTCGCAGGAAATGACACACTGTCCGCTCTGGTTCTCCCTCATGTATCCAGCTCCACTGGGGCTGGATGCCATGGTGTAGACGTGGCCGAGGCTTCGTCTGTATGCCTTTCCCCTGATTGTTCTGCTACTGGGAGTTCTGGAGAGAGTATGCCGGGATGGGGTCTGTCTGTTGCTAGTAGCCCCGTTCTGGCCGGCCCGAGTATGGTTCTCGGGCCTGGTGTCCTTCCTCGACGGCTCTCCGCTGGAGATTCCGATCAGGAGGGACATCCTCTCTCAGGCAGGGGGCACCATTCTTCACCCCCAGCCCGGCGTTATGGAAGTTGTGGGTGTGGCCCCTGAAGGGGCACAGCTCCTAGCATCTGGTCTCTCAACTGGGGTTGTTGAGACTATACTCCAGTCCAGAGCTCCTGCCACGAGGAAACAGTACGCCTTGAAGTGGAAGCTTTTCACTTCATGGTGCGGACAGCGACTGCAAGACCCAGTCAACTGCCCAATTGGTACAGTTCTGGAGTTTCTGCAGGAGCGATTCTCCACAGGGATATCTCCCTCCACTCTGAAGGTATACGTGGCGGCCTTAGCTGCTTACCACGCCTTTCTGGGTGGTCAATCATTGGGAAGACACCCACTTATCACTCGTTTCCTCTGTGGCACCCTGAGGCTGAGGCGCACTAAGGTGCCCTCATAGGACCTGGCTGTGATTCTGGAGGGCTTATGCAATGCCCCCTTTGAACCCATAGGAGAAGTTTCAGTCAAGTTTCTCACGCTCAAGACTATCTTTCTCCTAGCTATTTCCTCACTTAAAAGGATCGGGGATCTTCAGACACTTTCTGTTTAGTGCCTGGAATTTGCTCCAGGCATGGTTAGGGCATTCCTTTACCCGAGGGTCGGGTATGTCCCTAAGGTGCCCACTTCTTCGCCAGGGCCCATAGTACTTCAGGCATTCTGTCCTCCTCCGTTCGAGCACTGGACGCTTATGCACACAGAGCTGCCCCGTGGCTTAAGGCAGATCAGCTGTTTGTTTGCTTTGGTCCGCCAAAGAAAGGATCTTAGACGACCAAGCAGACTATGAGTAGGTGGGTGGTCGAGTCCATCTCACTAGCCTACGAGTCCTCTGGCCTCCGTCACATATGGGGGTCAGAGCGCACTCGACCAGGAGTATGGCAGCCTCCAAGGCTTTCAACTTGGGTGTGGCCTTGCAGAACATTTGTGCTACGGCGGGCAGGTGCTCTCCTCACACCTTTGTGCGCTTCTATAAACCAGACC